ATTAATATAAAAAAATATATTTTTATATTTAAATATAATATATTAATAATATAATATTTTTAAATAATAATAATTTTAAAAAAATAATAATAATTAAAAATTTATAATTATTATATATTAATTTTATAATAATAATTAATATTTTTATTAATTAATAAAAAAATTTAAATTATATATAAATAATTATTATAATAATATTAATTATAAATATAATAAATATTTTATAAATATATATTTAAATTATATATTTTAAAATTATAAATTATTATATATTAAATAATTATAATAATATAAAATTAGATATTTAATATAATTATATAATTAATTAATTAAAATATAATAATATATATAATATTATATTATTTTAATTATAATTAATTAAATTTATATATAATATAAATAATAAAATAATATTAATATTAAAATTATATATATATTAATTATTATATAATATAAAATATATATTATATTTTATCATATTTTAATTATAATAATTAATATTATATATATAAAATATTATATTATATATAAATATATAATTATAATTATAATATATAAAATAATAATAATATTAATTTTAATATAATATATGATTATTTAAATAATATTTATATATAATTAAATAAATATATATATATATAATATTTTATAATTAATATATATATAATATATTATAATAATGATTATATAATAAGAGATTAGACTTGTTAGGCTCTTCCTGACGATTGTGATACAATTAGTTCTTGTTAATTAATAGGACAATTATATTCTATTGTTTGTATTCAATCAAATTCCTATGTGGTATAATTCTTTATCGAGTATCTTCGTTGGTTGTCGAGTTCGGTAAAGCTTTCATAATCAATACTTGTTTAAATTTAACAGTATAGCGGATATGTTATTATATTGATCGATCTTATAACACTTTTTAGGCCATGATATACTTTCTGAGCGTTAATATAACACCAGAAATTCGATCGGGCCATCGCAAAAAAAACCAGAAAGCATACCTAACATGCCCCATCATGCTCAAATAATACCGAAATTTTGGTACGCGACTGAGCTTAATTGAGCTTAATTCGTCATTAAGCATTAACGCCGTTCAATTTATGAAATAAATGACCCGTTGGAATTCGGACTCCCCGTCCCAAATAACACCTAGTAACATGTATAACATGACTATAAATGCTTCAGCGTAAGAATTTACCACAATTTCGCCATAATCTGGCGAAAAATTGGAAAAAGGGCGTGGCCCGTAAAAAAAGTTTCCGCGACCGAACAAAAATTTTGTAACATTTTTTTTAGGTTTTTTATCGACAATACCAACACATTATGTGAAGGAATCGCACGGCTTGTTTCACTCATTTCCGCGTAGAGTGCAACTTTATGACTGGACTTATTCTCGCCTCTCTGCACCGCGCACCGCCGATCCATCGCGCCCGCGTCGGGGACAAAAAGCGGGTGTTACCTCACACGCGTTATCTCGCGACGCCGCTTTGCTGTACCGGCCCCGGGGAGAGGGGGGTAGTAAACCGTGGCGCGTTGCGCGGTGTAGCGTACGGCTTACTGGCGTGATCACGTCACATTGTCCAAACGTGTAGTTGTGCATACTCCGTGTTTGTTATTGATGCACGCCGTCGCCGCTGTCACGCGAAAAGAAACCAGGGAAAACCGATGGGGGTGATGTCAAGGCGCTAGCATGCTATTGTCACACACGCACCTTGCGGATAGTCATATATCCACAGCCCGACAATCACCGGTCAAAATCAAATAGTCAATATCAATGAACAACTACCAACAATGCAATATCGCAGCATCAGCAACCGACGCACTCGTACGGTCTTTCGCGGCGCGCGTCGCCCCCGTACAGCGTATTGTTACATGAATCACTACAATGCAACGCGCGCATTACCGGCTACACGCTACCGCTTAACAGAATCATACAATCAACGCGCGACATACCGCCACACCGTAGCCGTTACAAAATCATACAATCAACGCGGCGCGCATACCGCTACACGTACTGTTACAGAGTTATACAATCAAACGCGTGGCATACCGCTACGCGTATTGCTGCAGAATTATACCAATCAACGCAAAGTAAAACGAACCAACGTAAATCCACGCTTGCGCGTCGTCTCTCTCTCTCTCTCTCTCTCTCTCTCTCTCTCTGCCTCTCTTCTTCCTCCTCCTCTCTGTCCCTCTCCGTCGTCTCGTCCGTCGACCCACGGTGGATGCTCTGCGCCTTCGTCTCCTCTTCTCCTCCTTCTTCTTCCTCTTCGCTGGGCTTGTCCGACCTCGCTCGGCGCTGCACGTGTCGCTTACTGTAGACTTCTAGCTCTCCCTCGCTCACGCGCCGTTCTGCTGCGTGGCTCTGCTACACGTGCGACGCTTCTCTCTCTCACGCACGGCTCTGCTGCGTGGCTTTGCTACACGTGCGACGCCTTCTCTCTCTCCACGCACGGCTCTGCAGCGTGGCTTTGCTACACGTGCGACCTTCTGCTCTCTCACGCACGGCTCTGCTGCGTGGCCTTTGCTACACGTGCGACGCTTCTCTCTCTCACGCACGCTCTGCTGCGTGCTCTACTGTCCTGCCTAACTTGTGGCGAAAACTATCCACTTCTTCTTCGCTCACGCACCGGCTATACTGCGTGGCTCTACTGTAACTGCCTAACTTGGCGAAAACTATGCATTTCTCACTTCGCTCACGCGCGGCTCTGCTGCGTGGCCTCTACTGTCCCTTCCCGCTTGCGCTCTCGCACGGTACTCCTCGGCCTCGCGCCGCGTGCTGCCAGCTGCCAGGTGCACAGCCTAGCTGCGTGCTTCGAAGCCAGTCGACGGAACGGCTAACCGTGACAATGTACATGAAGAAAGCGCTCGCGCGTCGGTCACCGTTGACTGCTAAGATAATTTTCTTCGGCTCGTCTATTACGTCAAAGTTGGGCGGGCGGACAACAGCACGTGTGCTTGTAAATCCAATCTATATATATTCCCTTTGCTCGCAGCATCACGGCGCTGCGTTCCCCGCTATGCCTATAATAATGTACAGGAAGCATGCGGCTAGTGCGTCGGGTCACAGTAGAGTCCCGGCGCTTTCTTTTATATTAAGGGACTCTAGTCACCTTTGACTGCAAGAGAATTCTTCGGCCGTTCTCATACGTTCAAACTGGTCGAGGGTGGCCCGACGGCACGCGGGCATATCTGTAGCCTAACTGTTCTTTAACTTTTTTTCTGATTACGTTAAATACGCAAATAATAAGGAATCCGAACGTAATTTATTCCAGGTAACCCTAGGGTGCAATTCGCGGATCGTTGATATCGTGTACAAATATGTATCACTGAACTGTTTAAAATAAAAAATATGTTATTATATTCTTATGTATATTCGTATATATAATATTATATATTGTTTTTATATACATATTGTGTTGCCTTATGTTTATATACAGCTCAGTGATACATATCTTGATGATATTCCAATATTCGGCACCGCAACGCTGTAATGACGACTAAAATTGCTCACGCCGCAACTCTAGAGAGCAAATTATAGCAAGTTCTGGAGTTATAGATTATAAACTCGGAGTTCAGAGAAACAAGCTTTCTGGAAACGCTAATATAATTGCGAGTAAAGTACATATAATATTAGTAATGCGAAGGCGTTTATAATTACATTTCGGCGGCGATCCCCGCAGTCAGGCGATGGTGCTGCCGACCACAATATCTAAATTGAAACGCGAACGTATTTATCCGTCAGGTAACGCTACTGTGGCAATTCGGATATATATACAGATTATGTATAGACTAGTCAAATGAATATAGAAATCTTGTCTTAAAATCCTGGCGTGTCACATTAGTGTATAAAGATTTAGAACATTAAGAAAGTTGCCATTAACCGATATTTATTTATTCAAACGAGCTATATTATAATATTATACAGCGCGTCCCCGGTACATAATAAGCGAGGCGGGCCGCCTCGCTCAATTTTGGGCGAAATTGCCGTTTCGCTGCTAAATTTCGCCCCCCCCCCCTCAACCGTTAACCGGCCGCCACTCTCCATCGGGGTTCTCCTCTTACAGCACCTACCCGCCCCCTCATGTATCGATGAATGCTGCTCACAGAAATATATAGAGACACCTATAGTCTACCTAGTATATTATTTCTATGATGCTGCCACACATCAAAGCAAACACCGCGGGCGCGCCCTCGCTCGCCAGACACGGACCAGCCAGGTGCTACGTACGTGTACGAAGGCACTAATATGCACGGCTATGTATCATACGTACTATGTACTAAGGAACTCGCGTCAGCGATTTCGCGGCGCTCACTTATCAACCCTGCTGCATCGTCACCGATTTTATCTATCCATCCATCCATCCATCCATCCATACCATCCATCCATTCATTTTTCTGTCTGTCATTGATTATGTTAATCAATATCACGAATTGTCAACCATTATTGTCTACCGTGGTTATTGTTTCTTCAACGCTAATATTATGGCATGCCTCTTCCTCCTGATCCTCTGCTAGCGTAACTAGGCGTACCTGTTCCTACTCTATTTATCTGTTTGCGAGAACGTAAGCATGCTAGATGTCATGCTTTGTATGGTTTTGGCGCCAATGCATATGTCTATTTGAGTAGGGCAAGCAAAAGTATATCGACTGCCTCTGGTGGCAAATATAATGAGTGGAGATATCAATTTAATATGAAGCCGCAGTGGGGTCATGGCACGCAATTAGTGATACGGAGCTGGCGTGGTGATATTCATTTCTGCATCATGGCGACAGCTGATGGTTCACTGTGGCAACATCTCCGGTCTGTGTCCGAGAATGGGAGCTGGTCGGCTGCATGGAGTCGGACGTTGAACAGGGCGTAGTCCCAGCAATTCAGGCGTGGATCACTTACCTGCTGATTCCTGTCAACATTCTCAGCATACTTGCTAATCTTCTCGTCATCTTGGCGTGTGACACGGACATCACACCTGCAGGAGCGGCACACAAGCTGATCGCAAACTTGGCTGTCGCCGATTTCCTCATGGGTGTGCAAGGAGCCTTCTTCTCACCAACGACCATTCTAGTCGAGTTCCCACCAAAGATCATATGCCTTGGACACTTTACTTTGGGTACGCTCTCGGGCATCGGATCAATAACCACTCTCATTGCCATCAACGTAGACAGGTATATTGCAATATCGCGACCGCTACACTACTACCAGATCGTCACACCGCGCGTTGTCTTGCATGGTAATGGTAGGTCTGGCTTGGGGCTTTGCCCTCCTCTTAAGCGTGGTAACTCTCATTGGCAACCGCTGGCAGCCGGATCAACCATGTATCTATGACACCGTCACGAGTAAAACATCTGTCATCTTTTTGGCGATAGTCGTTGGTACGTGTGGCGTCGCCCTCGTCTCCATCTACGGTTACATAATGATGATTGCCAAGCACCACCAGCAGCAGATCCACCAGGAACCGAGCAGCAGCGGTTCGCAGGAGGCAGCAGCGACCGCTAGCTCCATCTCCGCGCAACTCGTCGAGCATCTGAAACTTGCCAAGACGTTTGGCATCGTCGTCGGCACCTTCTTCGTCTGCTGGGCTCCGTACTTCATCCTGATGCTGCTGAGCGTCGCCGACGTCTACTACGATACGGTCGGCGTGGCGCGAGGCTTCGGCTACCTGCTGGTGTACTGCAATTCTAGCATGAACTTCTTGATATATGCTTCAAAAAGCAGTCAGTTCCGCGCCGCCTTCCGGGCGGTGTTGCCCTCGCGTGGACACTAGAGACGAATCATCGCGACTGTTTCATCTTTCGCGTAAGTGTTTAAGCAGGTAGATCGATTTAGCTTTCACGTTAGCTGAGTTTCGGGCGGATGAGAGGTGGCTGCTGTCCTACCTTTTCAATGAGAATCAGAAAACAGTTCAGATAACGAAGAAGGTCAGCGTTTCTACTCAGAGTGTATATGGATGGGGGTTTACGTATCAGATAGCTGATAATATAGCAACATTTTGTTGGCTAAACGTCAAAGGTGTTGTAGGTCATTTATGCTTCGTTGTTGTAAAACGAGTCAACGTGTACAGAAATAAAACTCTATTAAAAACAGTTCATTTCACAAGATTGCAAGTTGAACGTATGCGCAAGCAAATTCTTTAATGTACATGTACATAAAAAAAGGCGCTTTGACGTCGGTCGCCGTCGACTGCCAAGATAATATTCTTCGGCCGTTCTTATACGTTAAAACTGGAGCCGGGCAGGCCGACAGCACGTGTGCATGAGAAAATCTGATCTATATGCTTCACTTTGCTCGCAGCATCGCGCCACGATTCCCAAGTATGCTAATGTACATAAAAAAAGGCGCTTTGACGTCGGTCGCCGTCGACTGCCAAGATAATATTCTTCGGCCGTTCTTATACGTTAAAACTGGAGCCGGGCAGGCTGACAGCACGTGTGCATAATAAAATCTGATCTACATGCTTCACTTCGCTCGCAGCATCGCGCCACGATTCCCAGCTATGGTAATGTATGGGCAAATGGCGCCGCGACGTCGGTCGCCGTTGACTGCCAAGATAATATTCTTCGGCCGTTCTTATACGTTCAGACTAGAGCCGGGCAGGCTGACAGCACGTGTGCATGGTAAAATCTGATCTACATGCTTCACTTCGCTCGCAGCATCGCGCCACGATTTCCAGCTATGCTAATGTCTGGGCGAATGGCGTTATAGCCAGCAAGCTATATTCTGCAGTTTTATTCAGTCTGTGCTGCACGCCTGAAATGGTGTTCGCGCATGCGCAATATCTCCCAAAAGGGATAATATTTTGCAAAGATTATGCATTTAATATGAAGAGGGGGTATTCTAGCATAGATTTACATGATAAAATTCCATTAGTAGATCTCTCTTAAGAAATAGGAAGAACACCTTGCGTGCGCGCTGCATATACCAGTCAGTACACAATCTGGCCACGATAATGTGTTAACGCATGCGTAATATCTCACAAGAGGAGTTATATTTTGTTATGGATACGCATTTAATATGGTTAAGGGGTATCCCCACATAGATTTCTGTAATAAATTAGTATTGTTAGACCTGTGTTTATAAATAGGAGTACACCCTAGCCTGCAGGGTACAAAGCGCCGACTTCACCCCCTCCCGTCTTTTCCAATTGCCTCCCTTGTCCATCGCTCGGCCTCCTTTCTTTTTCTACCCCTCTCAGCTATTTTCCCTGCCCCCTTTCCTCAGTCTCCCACCCCTCACTCCCTCAGCAAGCTATATTATGCAGCTTTCTTCAGTCTGTGCTGCACGCGTAAAACCCTGATTGCGCATGAGCAATATCTTCCAAACGGAATATTATTTTGCAAAGATTATGCATTTAATATGAAGAGCAGGTATTCTAGCATAGATTTATGTGATAAAATTCCATCAGTAGATCTCTCTTAAGAAATAGGAGAAAGACCTTGCATGTATGGTGAGCGCTGCATATACCAGTCATTACACAATCTGGCGACGATAGTGTGTTAGCGCATGCGCAATATCTCACCAGCGGAGTTATATATTGTTATGACTATGCGTTTAATATGGTTAGGGGGTATCGCCACATAGATTTCTGTAATAAATTATTATAGGTAGACCTGCGTTTATAAATAGGAGAACGCCCTAGCCTGCAGGGTTCAAAACACCGACTTCACCCCTTCCTGTCTTTTTCAATTGCCTTCTTGTCCATCGCTCGGCCTCCTTTCTAATCTTCTTCTACCCCTGTCAGCTATCTTCCTTGCCGCCTTTCCTCAGTCTCCCACCCTCACTCCCTCAGCAAGCTAGGCCTACGCATGCGCGAGAACTAAGCGAAACCGTCGTGAGTGCGAATCAGAAATCATCGAATTCAAGCAGAAACAGCCGCCTCCTACCAATTTCTCCCTTATATCATATCTCAGAAATACGCGCGGACACGTAAAAACATGGAGGGGATGCACTGTCTCATGGCTGAGTTATTGTCAGAAAAGAAGCAGCAGGATTTTATTTACCTACCAAAGTTATTAAGCTGTGTTTTTTAACAAAGTATTTATTCTCTATCGCGCGAATAATTCACGTAAATGCCGTTGAAATGCACTCATCTACAATACACGACTTTGCCGCGCGCACGCTACTGTCCACTAACACTCGGTGAAGATACCACTCGGAAGGACGATATACACTCGCCGCTGTGTGTGATCTTTTGTCAGTTTGTGCACAGTGGCAGCGAACCGACGACGATGGGCCAAAGGTTGCCGAGAAGAGATCCGCACCTGCGGCAGACTACTTGCTGCTATTTTTTTGTGCGCGGGGGGGGGGAGCGTGCTAAATGCAGGCGAACCGGTCGGAACCGGTTGGCCGCATCCTCACGGGTCCACTCAGGTGGACGGCCGCTGCTGGCTCTGTATACCTGGCGGACCGAACGTACTCGCAGCACACGTGGAAGAAATTCCACGTGAATGACCGACGACAGCGTATGTGAGGAGTTTGATCGACCCGAGTAATATATACGTGCATTCAAGAATCTCGACGAGTCCCCCCCGGGCTCTTTGGACAGCGACTCGTGTCGGGCTTGTCTATACTATATTATAATAGAGGAATACTTGTGTACACATCGTCGAAATAGCTCCCTAGAATTTGAAGAAACAGCCGAACATCGACAGACCGTTGTCTGCTGCCTCGCTGTGGCTGTGCTGCTCTAACGTACGTCTCGCAGTCCGGACGGACGTTACGTGCTGTGTGAGATCTCAAGGATGTGAATCAACATGTGGAAGCAGAGATTCGGGAAGTATTCGCCGGAGCAATAGCAATGCGGAAGGCGCTGGACCGCACATCGCGCGCGGCGTGGACTCGCCGCCGAGTGGAGCACGGCGAGATGCTTTGCCGGGCATCTGGAGGATTTCAAGACTCGAGCTGAGCGTTCTGCCCGAGGTGCGCCACAGTCTTCTCGTGTCACTCGCGCCTCCGAGCCCGAAGCTCGAAAAGTGATGAAGGTAGGCAGATAGGAGAAGATGCCGGATCAAAATGCTACACTGTAGGGTACGTGCGCTGCGTGCGTGCGTTGTGTGTGTGCTGCGTGTGTGTGTGTGCGTCAGGCTGTGTGTGTGTGTGTGTGTGTTGTGGCGTGCATCATTGTGTTGTGTGATGTGTGTGTGTAATGCGCGCGTGCGTTGTGTATGGCGCGTGTGTGAGTGTGTGCATGGCATTCATAAGGTGTTAGTGCTGAGTCATATCTAATGTTCTAAATTAGGAACTTACTTGGTTCAGAAGTTGCATTACTTTTGTTTTGTATTCATTGCCAGTCAAGTTCAAGTTCGATTGACAATACCAAATTAAAGATTGAAAACCTGTACTATAGCTCTGAGAAAAAACATGTACAGATCGATCTGCACATGTTCAAGAGCTAATAATACATGTTCAAGAGCTAATAATACATTCATCAAGAGCTAATAATACACTTATCAAGAGCTAATAATACAGTTATCAAGAGCTAATTAATACATTTCAAATAACATTATCAACGAGCTAATATACACTTATTCAAGA